CTTCTTTACATTTATCATTTTTATACATTTATTATTTCATTTAATAGGTTATAATATACAGTTTGGGTTTCTTTATTTACTATCCCTTCCTCCTGTTGTATCACCACCTTATTTTCCCTTTCTTTTCTCCCTCCCTCCCTCCCTTCTCTACTTACTTCCTTCTTCCTCTCCTTCCTTCTTTCCTTACCTTTCTCCTACTCCTACTCTTCCTCTTCCCCTTCCTACCCTCTCTCCTTCTCTTTCTCTCCCTTCTATCCTCCTCTCCTTGCCTCTTTCTTCTTTCCCCGTCTTCCTTTCATTCTCTCCTCCTTTCTCTTTTTCTGAGTCTCTTTCTCTGCCTGTTATGCAGCCACAGCCTACTCCCTCTCTTATCTGATCCATCCCTAGGCAGCATCCCTTCCACGTCCCAAGGCCTTTCTCACACACCATTAGAGGCAGTCACTAATCTTTCTACTCTTGCAACCTCCTTGAAGGGTTTCAAAGATCCAGACGTATGATTTGAGAGAGAAAGGCTACCTCTAGGATGTTGTAACGAGAGCTGTCACAGTAATCCCGGACTCCGATTTCGGTCCCCATGTACCAGCCGCTGAAGGGGCATGCAGTGAACTCCAACCCGCCAATCTCCAGCAGCATGTTAGAAACAGCTGGTAAGGCATACCATTGAAGCCCAAGGTCTTTAAACCACTTGATTCTGTTAAAGAAAAACAAATAAATGAAAAGCAGGAATAACCAGGGCAATGTCCGCTAGAAAAACTACAGAAGCTTAATTTACTTGAAGAACATCTGGTTTAATTTGGAGGAACCTTGTCTAATTCTGGAGGACATTTATCCATCCATTGATCAATCAAAGAACCGTGGTGGCGCAGTGGTTAGGATGCAGTATTGCAAGTTAACTCACTGCTCACTGTCAACAGTTCGATCCTGACTGGCTCAAGGTTGACTCAGCCTTCCATCCTTCCAAAGGCAGTAAAATGAGGACCCAGATTATTGGGGGCAAGATGCTGACCCTTACAGAGGGCTGTAAAAGCACTATGAAGCAGTATAGAAGTCTAAGTGCTCTATCTATCTATCTATCTATCTATCTATCTATCTATCTATCTATCTATCTATCTATCTATCTATCTATCTATCTATCTATCTNAAAAAAGGAGGGTTTTTACGATAAAGTGACTGAATTAGATAAAATCTTAACAGGTACCGATGAAAAGGTAGTTAGAAATGATAGGGTCAAGGATCAAATTATGTTTTTGACCTAAATGTCACGTCAACAGTAATGAGGCTGAAAGTAGATGGAATCAGGACTGGAAAGCAGATATGGCTGGAACAAAACTTCAGTCTGAATGACAGTTCAATTCAATTTAATCTAAATCAATTAAAAGCCGTTCATTGTTATCTATAAATCGGATTGCAGTTTGTGAATCCCACAAAACCCCAGATCAGATCTCTGAGCTTATCCAAACCATTAATTCAATGAATTAAATGAAGCCGAATCGTTGAGGTGATTCGGGGGGGGGGGGCAATCTCGCATGGAGGAATCAAATTATCACACTGATTTGGGAGCGCCCAACTCGATGCATTGAATCCCTCGAAGGGATAAATTCAATCTTTGAGCTTCAGATCCAATTTTTGCACAGCCTTTTAAAAGCTACATTTCCCCCTCTTTGTCCGGTTAAACTGAAGTTAGTCCACCAGGATTTTCAGTGTTTAAGTGTCATCCGTGAAACATGCAGTTAGTAGACTGCTTAAATTTTTAACGGCACATCTAAAACTGTGCTAAGGATAAAGGTAGAGGTTCCCCTTGTATTTGCGTGCTAGTTGTTCCCGACTCTAGGGGGCGGTGCTCATCTCTGTTTCAAAGCTGAAGAGCCAGCGCTGTCCAAAGACATCTCCATGGTCATGTGGCCGGCATGATTCAACGCCGAAGGCGCACAGAACGCTGTTCCCTTCCCACCAAAGATAGTTCCTATTTTTTACTTGCATTTTTTACGTGCTTCCGAACTGCTAGGTTGGCGGAAGCTGGGACAAGTAATGGGAGCTCACTCCGTTACACAGCGCTAGGGATTCAACCCGCTGAACTTCCAACCTTTCTGATCAACAAGCTCAGCATCTTAGCCGCTGAGCCACTGTGTCCCTGAAAAAACTGTGTTACACACAGGGAAATGTAACGGTATGGCTGCTCATACTTACTTAGCTAATTTTTTAAAGCCAATTGCTCTCTTCTTGGTGGGGGTGCCGTTAGCCCCTTTCCAGATGTGGGTGTTCCAAGGGTCAGGCTGAAAGAAGATAAAAAGAATCCCAGTTAAAAGAGAAAAACTGAGTCTAAGGATGACGTCAAGAATCTACCATGTCCAAATGTAGCTTCAACAGTCTTTTGGGGTTTTGTTCAGGAGTTGAATTCTAAATCACATCTGCGTCACTGCAGCAGACTTAATCCGGCCCTCTAGAATTAACTAGGGTCAGTAGGATGGAGTGGTGCGGTGGCCTAGAGAGGTGGAGCTCTCACCTCACGATCAGGAGGCTATGAGTTCAATCCTAGGTAGAGGCAGATATTTCTCTGGGAATATATCTGCTGAACAAATCCGCGTTGGCAACAGGAAGGGAATCTGGCCATTCAAATGCTCTACTAGCACCAATCAGTTGCCCAGACTCCACCTCGCAAGGGATTATGGGGTCATTAAAAGAGGATGATGAGTAGGATAGGTCTACGGTCACACAGAAGGCTAAATCATGAACTAATTAAATTCCAACCATAGGCAAAGAGAAATGGTTTTATATTAACATACAAGTCACCAGAAGTCCTAACCAGACAACTATTTCACCCTGTTAATTGCATATAATTTTTTTTTTTTAATTTACTGATTTGTATCTAGCCTTTACGGTTTTTACAAGTAACTCAAGGCGGCAAATATATCCAACACACCTTCCTTCTCCTATTTTCCCCACAACAACCCCTTGAGATGAATTGAGCTGAGAGAGTGGGACTGGCCCAAAGTCGCCCAGCTGGCTTTCATGGCTAAGGCTGGACTAGAACTCCCAGCCTCCTGATCAATGGCCCAAAAGTCGCCCAGCTGGCTTTCATGGCTGGCAGGACTGGAACTCCCAGCCTCCTGGTCAATGGCCCAAAAGCCACCCAATTGGCTTTCATGGCTAAGGCAGGACTAGAACTCCCAGCTTCCTGATCAATGGCCCAAAGTCGCCCAGCTGGCTTTCATGGCTAAGGCAGGGTTTGAACTCATAGTCTCCCATTTTTTTAGCCTGGTGCCTTAACCTGTAGACCAAACTGGCACTTTAACGGTGCTTTGTTCTCTCTTGCTCCCAAATGTAGTCTTTAATTGATTCAAGTACTGTAACCTCCATATTTTGGACCACGGCACGGGACTAAAAATGCTCCTTACAGAAAATCTTATAGTTCACTTATATAGAGCTGGGGTCTCATGTACTGGAAGAGGGGAGGGGGCTTGAAAAGGGTCGCCGGCTTGGCAGGGAAGCCAGAGGCTTCTGGAGCTTTCCCAAAGTCCCCCACTGGCTGTGCAATATTTCTGGCAAGAGAATGGAAGAATATCAGAGCAGACTTTTCCTGGCAAAAAAATATATGATTTTCAAATTAGGCAAACGCACAGTTCCCTCCAGCCTTAGCACAGCCCAACAACGGCAGCAGCTCTCGCAATAATTAAGTGCAAATCCCATCCGTCTATATCAATTTCCTGCATAAATTTAGTCTCCGCCAGCGGGAAAAGCCTTCTGTAACCATTTCGGTTATTAATTGCGGCTTTCCCTAGTAATTTTAGTTTCTTATTAGGAAACCTCCGAGTGCTTTTGTAAGTGCTGCCCTACTTCTTCTTCTTCTTCTTATTTTTTTTTTGTATATGTTTTATTTGCAGTTTTCCTTTAACAACCAACATATTTTGTGGACAGTGTAATGCCTGGGCGTATACATTTTTACACAGTTAACAATAACAATGCAATTACATATACGTAGTTTTTGTCTTCCAACTTATAACCTTAATAAATGTATTAATAATTATAAAATATTCCTTTATATACCATGTTTTCCCCAAAATAAGACTTCTTTTGACCCCCGAAATAAGCACTTGGCCTTATTTTCGGGGAGGTCTTATTATTTTTGAGATTCAGGAGGCGACGAGTGGGGTCACCTCATGGCTCCTCCTGTGTTGCAGTATTTTCAGGGAGGGCTTATTTTAGCGCATGCATTAAAAAGCCCAATTGGGCTTATTATGCGGGAAGGTCTTATTTTCAGGGAAACAGGGTATCAATATGTTTAATACTATTTTCCCAATTCATACTCTGCCTTACTTCTGAACTTTCTCTCACCTATGGTAGGCCTCCCCATCCCTGTTCTGGGAATGCAAATTTTATTTACTTATTCAATCAATGCATGTGGCCATCTCAAGGAAGTGACTCTGGGTAGTTAACAACAAGAATAATACCACGTTTGGGTTGAATGCAACACTCATTTTCATCTTTTTTCCATAAAACAAAACCTGCAGAGGCACCAGAACATGGAATGTCATTACCTCCAAGACGTCTGTCAAGTTTTTGAAAGATGCCCTAATTAATTTATGAGCCTCGAGCCAAGTTTCAAAAGAAATTCAGGTATTTATTAGGAGCAACATTTTGGCAATTACCCAAGTGGAGTCAGATCTGACCTCACGTATGTTATGGCTGAACTTTGCCCATTTCCCCCCTCCCCTCAGTCTGTGTCATAAATCACATTATCCAATGAGGTGCTCTAGCAAGCTGCAAAATTCCACACCTCACAAGCCTGCTGTGGTAACTTGAGATCCGACCCTAGCTGAAGGTATGCGTGGAATGTGCTCCCCCTCTTTCCGCCCATGTCAACTCGATAACAGACATGGAGGTGCTTTGTGAGTTGACATTCAGCTCCCCTCACTTCCCGAAGGCGAGTTGACAACGTCACTACCACTGTGAATGGCCCCAATTGCAGGTAGCATCAATTGCTTTGATTTAGTTACAAAGCCTTAGTATGGCCACACTTCGGAATATTGCATCCAGTTTTGGTCACCACAATATAAAAAAAAGATGTTGAGACTCTAGAAAGGGTGCAGAGAACAGCAACAAGAAATTATCAGGGGTCTGGAGTCTAAGTCAGATGAAGAATGGAAATGGGTACGTCGAGTCTAGTGAAAAGAAGGACTAGGGAAGATATGATAGCAGTGTTCCAGTATTTGAGGGGCTGCCACAAAGAAGAGGGGGTCAAGCTATTTTCCAANCCTGCCTAAGCAGGGGGTTGGACTAGAAGACCTCCAGGGTCCCTTCTAACTCTGTTATTCTATTCTATTCTGTTCTGTTCTGTTCTATTCTGTTCTATTCTGTTCTATTCTGTTCTATTCTGTTCTATTCTGTTCTATTCTATTCTATTCTATTCTATTCTGAGTCCCAGACAGTAAGCTGTCTGAGGCACGTAATAAAAAGAAGTTGATTTGCTTAAACCCCTTTGCTGTTAGCAAAGTGCAGAATCTGCCAGCTACAGTTACAAACTTAGCAAGAGTTATTTTAAGGTTTTTATCTGCCAACAAAAGACCACCCAGGAAATCTGCAAATTTATTGGGAGTGGACTGGAATTCTTATAACCCCACCTACAGGGCCAGCGCATAAGAAGAAAGAATGGAAAATCAAAGAAACAGTTCAAAGGAATTCTATTAAGTAATCTCGTTACATTAAACTTACCTGCTCTCTTCTAAGCTGGAGTTTGGGTTTTTCATCTCCATCAAGGCACACCCGAATTTCTAAGGGAGAAAGGAAAGAAAGATTCATCCCATTAGGGCCAGGGACTCCTCAAAAATAATTTTAGACAATGTGCAGCAGGCTTCAGGCCGTTGGGATCCTCCTACTGTTAATTAAAGACTTCCTGTCATTTCTCCAGCTTTCAAAGCAGCCTTAAAAAAAATGGGTCTGTTTTAAGAAACAGATTGGTCAGAATGAATATAATTCTTAGAGCAGCTGCAAGATTATCGCCCCTCCCTCCAAGGTCTGAAAAATGACAGGTTCTTTTAAAAAATTGAAAAGACCAGCTTTGCAATTGTCCAAAATGATTTTTTTTTTTAAATGTGTGCTTAGCGCAGGGGTGTCAAACTCAAGGCATGGATCCAGCCCATGGGGTGCTTAGATCTGGTCCATGGGGCTGGCCTGGAAACAGCAAAGGACTGATCTGCGGTGCCTCTGCCAGCGAAAATGGAGCTTGGTGTGTGTGTGTGTATGTGTGTGTGTGTGTGTGTGTGTCCCATGTACTTCCCATGCCCCATTTTCAGCTGAGACAGCCTCCTGCATCGCCTTGCCTTTTCACTGGTGGAGGGCTAGCACAACCAACTAAAAACAAAACCAAAGGAGGAATGTTTTCTCTTTTGCCTTTGAGCATGCAAGAAGAGACAGGAAAGGAGAAAGGGAAAGACAAAGAAAAAGAAGGGAAGAGGGGGAAGAGAGCGAGGAAGGAAAAAGAAGGAAAGGGGAAGGAGGAAGAAAGGAGAATGAAGAGGGAAGGAAAAAGAGGAAAAGGAAGGAAGGAGATTATAATGAGAGTGGGTGAGGGTCTCATGGAAATCCTGCCTTAGCACTTGGCTACCACAAGTGTACTGAAACAAGTGATGCCACGCCCACCCTGACCACCCCCCTCCGGCCCTCTGAGGTCAAACACAACCCTGAGGCAGCCCTCAATGAAGTCAAGTTTGACACCACTGACTTAGCATACATCACTGTTTCTCATTCTCAAGATGTGTGGACTTCAACTCCCAGAATTCCCTGCCGGCCATGCATGAGTTTTGGGAGTTGAGGTCAACACTTGTCTTAAAGTTTCAAGGGTTGGAAATACTGACAAAAAAAAAAAAACTAAGAGAGACCGTTAGCACATTGTAAACTGTGCTTAGTGTGTGATGTCTATGCAAGCCAATGCATTTTGCCAGTTCAGCTTATTGGGTGAGCTGCTGGCTCAACATATTGTACAAATCTAGAAATTAGGTCAAATCAGTAACCAAATGAAATATGCTGTGGAAAAACAGCTGAGGAAGGGATGTGTTGTGGTCTGCGGAGCTGGCAGCAGAGTCGGACAGTGAGGAGTTGGGGAGGAACATGGGCAAATCCTGGAGTCTGGGGAAGGCTTGGACGAGGGCTCTGCGTCAGAGGCAGAGAGGGGGCCAAGGACATCTGGGAGTTATGTGCTGCCTCCAGAGCCTCCGGAATCAGAAGCTGAATCAGACATCAGCGAGGCAGAGGAACAGGAGGAGCCTGTTCCCTGTGTGTGCATGCACAGAGTTGCCAGAAGGCAAGAATAGCTAAGAAAAAAGAGGCAACTTGGGNAGGGGAAGGATACTGCAAAATCTCCATTCCCTCCCCATGCCAGGGGAAGGATACTGCAAAATCTCCATTCCCTCCCCACTCTAGGGGAAGGATACTGCAAAATCCCCATTCCCTCCCCACGCCAGGGGAAGGATACTGCAAAATCCCCATTCCCTCCCCACTCTCGGGCCAGCCAGAGGTGGTATTTGCCGGTTCTCTGAACTATTCAAAATTTCCGCTACCGGTTCTCCAGAACCTGTCAGAACCTGCTGAATTTCACCCATGGTGTAGTGTCTTCTTGGAACTGTTGAATGGACTGTGTGTCAGGTTTCCGAAAGACGCCCTGATTGATTCATGGGCCTGGATCCAAGTTTCAAAAGAAAACCAGTCGTTTATTAGGAGCACCATTTTGGCAGCACCGTATTGCAGGCAGATCTAAGCCTTATTTGAATTATAGGTGAACTTTACCCCTGTTCCTTCCCTCCCATCAATCTGTGTCATCAATCACATTCCCCAATGAGGTGCACCCCTCCCAAGCCTCCTGCAGTCATCTGAGATACGACTCTAGCCATTGAAGGTATGAGTGGAATGTGCTTTCCTAACTTTATGAGTTGACCCTGTGTTGTAGAGTGGAGATAGGTGACTGGATAGTGGATGATGGTCACTGACCAGCAGTCTGCAAGGAATATAAATCCTTCCATTCCCACCGCCGTCCAGTCAGAGCTGAGGAAGCTTCTTGGATGAGAAATGTCTTCAAGGAAGAACCAGAAAGTCCAGTTCCCTCTTGAAAAAAGCATCTTTGGGACAACCATGACCTGGATGACTGGGGTTCTCCATAGACATCTGGAGGACAGCATCTTTAGGAAGGCCCGAATGCAGTGGTGGGTTTCAAAATTTTTTAGAATCTCTTCTGTAGGTGTGACCTGCTTTGTGTGAGTGGCTTTCCAGCCATGTGACCTGGTGGGAGTGGCTTGCTAGCCATGTGACTGGGTGGGCATGGCCAACTTGTAAAATGTGGTGAAACTCACTTAACAACGCTCTTGCTTAGCAGCCAAAATGTTGGCTCACAAGCACACAAGTCTTAAAGCTGTCAAGTTACAAGACCCTTGCCCTCCTAACCCTTTAGAAAAAAAAAACCTCAGGGGTGTTCAAAGTTGACAGCTTTAAGACTTGTGGACTTCAACTCCCAGAATTCCTCCTCCAGTCATGTTGGCTCAGGAACTCTGGCATTGAAGTTTGCAAGTCTTAAAGCTGTCAAGTTACAAGATCCTTGCACCCCTAACCCTTTCGAAAAAAACAGCCCAGGGGTGTTCAAATTTGACAGCTTTAAGGCTTGTGGACTTCAACTCCCAGAATTCCTCCTCTCGTTCTTCATCTTGATGATGTGCGGACGGGCGGGCGGTAGGGAGCTGGAACCGTTTCTAAACAGCATGGTAGATTTGTGGAACCTCTTCTATAGAAGAGCTTAGAACTATCAGGAACCCACCCCTGCCAAATAGTACCTTGGGTCAGCTCTGGGGCCTCGGCCACGTAGGTTAGCCGGAACTTGCTTCTCTTCCAGCTGCGGTCGTTGCTGATGAGGGAGTTGTTGGCTTTTTCGATGTTGACGTCGTCTCCCACACAGAACACGTCACACGCTGCCTGCAGGACACACCAAGCACTCAAGGAAAGGCCCAGAGAGGGGGAGGAGTATCTTACCAGAATGTCCCTCCCCTCTCAAACAGGGTGGATGCCAAGGTTCCCAAAAACACGAAATAAAATTCCGTGGCTTGGGTTCCCTCAAAGTTCCACTTTATTAGAGATGTGATGTTGGCGCATCTGGGGAAACCCGAATCCGAAAGCTTCCCGGTTTTCCCCACCCAGTTGAAAGTTCAAGACCCTGGCCCAACACCCACCAGTCCATCCCACGGCCCAAACTTCCACTGCCACAGAGACAGATTCCTCCCATCCACATCCGGCCAGGTGCAGAGACAAAGATGACCTTGAGTTTCTAAGAAGAATGTTATTATGGCTACACATCACCCGACTCACTCTACACATCGTCCAATAAATTCACCTTTGAAGGACTGTTTACTCGGCTGTTTACTGAATGTGAATGAGAGGAATTCACGGTTTAATAAAAGGGGTTTTGTCGGGACCAGGAATCTGGTTGCTCGTTGCTTTTTGTGGAAGCCTAGGTCAGAACACCTTCAAGCAAAGGTGAGGATCTCAACTGTAGGGAGGGCTTTCTTTCATTTGGGTTCCTGCAGAGAACTGGAGGTTTGGGTTTTCATGGGGCAGGGTGGGGTGAAAATCTGCCCCGATCATTGTTGTGTAGAGACTGATGGAACCTCTTCAAAATCAACTCCTCTCTTAAAGACCCAAACAAGAAACACCGGTTGAATGTAGGTTACCTTGAAGACTTTCTTGGCCCATGTTCTGAAGGATTCCTCCTGACCACACAGCTCATCCCCCTCGCCCATCCTCATGATCCGTTCCCCACCCAGCTCTTGCAGGAGGGTGTCCACAGCACGGGCAAAGGCGCAGAAGTGAGGGTAAGCCCGTGAGCCCAGCCCAAAGACGGAGAACCTGCAAGAAAGTAAGCCAAGGCACAAGTGACCACAAGCTTCTGGCATCCAAGCAGAGCCAACACGGAGGCAGGAGGGACGCAGTTTGTTTCAACAGTCAAAGTCATGTTATCTGTGTCGTCTCCTCCTCCTCCTCCTCCTCCTCCTCCTCCTCTTCCTCCTCCTCTGGAGTCTAGGAGTCCAGAGTCTGAGAAGTGGCAACAGGACAAAGCAAGGGATTGCTAAGATTGGGCGAAGTAGGGCGAGGCCTTGTGCCACAGTCACGAATGCCATCTTGGCTCACCCTCAAACAGCCTGGCTATAGAGGCTCGGGTGGAATTGCAACAGGCCCAACAAGCTTGCAACAGATAATGTATTACTGGACAAAGAGACACAATGGGGCCGAGGTGAGACAAACCACATGGGGAAAATTATGGACCAACGGTCTCAATGGGCCCATTCTCCTTCACCCCAAATGGGCTGGAGAGGCTGGTTTTCTGCAGCCCCTCGTAGCTTCTCTGCTCACCTGACGTTGGCTAGAGGACCAGCGCTCTCAAAGTTGTCCCTGGCTTCAGGTCCATCGGTAGAAGACTTCCGGGCATCCGAATAAGAGGAGACGCTGTTGAAGCGCACTTTGTAGCTTCTGTAAACAGGGCGGAGAATTAAAGCAACCAAGGAGCAAGGAAGAGTCAACGCTATGCTATCCTTTGTGAGTGTATTCCAGATAGATATTTGCCTGTTAAGGTCCAAAAATGTACAAAAATGTACAAAAATGTATAAGAGTCCTGGTGGCGCAGTGGTTTGGAATGCAGAATTGTAGGCTAATTCCGCCAACTGCCAGCAGTTCGATTTTAACCGGCTCAAGGTTGACTCAGCTTTCCATCTTTCCAAGGTTGGTAAAATGAGGAGCCAGATTGTTGAGGGGGAAGAGGCTGACTCTGTAAACTGTTTAAAGGGGGCTGCAAAGCACTGTGAAGTGATATACAAGTCTAAAGCTATTGTCCTTCCTTCCTTCCTTCCTTCCTTCCTTCCTTCCTTCCTTCCTTCCTTCCTTCCTTCCTTCCTTCCTTCCCAGATTGTTGGGGGCAAGAGGCTGACTCTGTAAACTGCTTAGAGGGGGCCGTAAAGCATGGTGAAGTGATATATAAGACTAAGGGCTATTACTATTCCTCCCTTCCTTCCTTCCTTCCTTCCTTCCTTCCTTCCTTCCTTCCTTCCTTCCTTCCTTCCTTTCTTCCTTCCCAGATTGTTGTGGGCAACATGCTGACTGTAAACTGATTAGAGAGGCCTGTAAAGCACTATGAAGCAGTCTGTAAGTCTAAGTGGTATTGCTAAAGACCTATGATCAAAACTCCTGACTTAAAATTTAAAAAAAAATCTTCTAAAAAAAGCATTTGCAACAGGCTCTAAAGCGAGACAAGAGTGAAATGAATCTGATTCCACTGTCCCATATCTGTGGTGTGCCAAACTCCCCTTTGAACAAGACACCACTAGCAGCACGACATAAAATAGAAAGCTAAACTGGGACGAAACGTAAATTTGATCCATTTGCTGAGAGATTTCAACTCAACCAAAAACTGCATTTGGTTAAGTTTATTAACTCCCCAGTCATGGTTTGAATATTTTCCCCCCTTCTGCCACATTAAATATTACAGATTGGAAGTCCCTAAGAGTTGCTTATTTGGTGGCAAGTGTTCTTGAACCCAACTTTCTGAGTAGGTATGTGTAAGAATGTTTTGATGTTTCTTTAAAACAATTCTATCCTTTCCAAATTCTAAGGGCACAAGGCGCACAAAAACAACCAAATACAAAATAATTATAATTTAATTATTATTAAAATAATAATTATAATTATATAAGCATCTTCAGGATAAAAGAGCGCAAGGTGGAATGGGCCTACCGGAATGGAAAGCATATCATCAAGCAGCAACAACAATGTGGATAAAAGAGTGGGTAATGTTAGCCAACAAAAGAATCTTAACGATAGAGGGCCACGACTTGCAATGGGGGTGGCACAATTACTTATGGTGTGAGGGAAACAAAGTCCACAATTATTTTAGAAGACACCATTTAAGAGGGGTACTGATTAAGGATTGGCTGGAAATTAGAAGGAAATTCTATATCCAACTACCNCAACATTAAGGACTAACAAGAAACAAACTTGGCAGCCTGGATTGCTGCCAGAGTTTGTTTGCATTGCTGCCAAGTTTTGTAGGCCGGAGTGCTTATCTCTTTGTTTATGTGGCTTGCAGCCAACGAGAGTCTGGACTGATTAAAAAACATTCTCATTTACATTGGTTTCGGCGTTCGTTCCTGGACGGAGAAGGGAGGGTCAGAACACCCTTCTGTTGGGATACACCAATGTGTTGCTTATTTTTCTTTTTCATTCAATGTTCACCAACCACTTTTTTTAATGTTCACTAAAACATTCTGCTGTTTAATCTGCACTTGTATTGTTGATGTTCAATCGATTGTTCAGCCCTTGCAAAAATTAGGATTTCATATTGAGTCAAGGTTGACTCAGCCTTCCGTCCTTCCGAGGTGGGTGAAATGAGGACCCAGACTGTGGGGGCGATATGCTGACTCTGTAAACCGCTTAGAGAGGGCTGGAAGCCCTATGAAGCGGTATATAAGTCTAACTGCTATTGCTATAATGAGAAGCTTCTGGGTCTCCAGATGTTGATGAGCCGGCATGCCTGAGTCGTAATTCATCCCTTTTGCTGGATTGCTTTCTTACTGCCAGTAACTGCTCTGTTGTTCGTGATGGAGAGGAAAGATAGAGGGACCAAGGGGGTGGAGGAAAGTGAGTGGGGTGCCTCTCCCATCAAAACCAGTCTGGATTCTCCCATTGGTGGGAACATCCAAAGGTCCCTCTTTTTTTTTAAATAGATGGGAAACATGAGCTTCAGTTCTTCTCTCTGCTTGGAAAAACTTTGGTTTCCAAGGAAGAGGAGCTGATCTGAATTGCTGGCTGTTAACCGTGGCTTTCCCAGGCGTCTGGGGCGTTGCGGAGTGGGGCTGCAACCTGGCCTTACTTGCTGGGTGCCTGCTTCCCCCACAGCTTGCTCTGCCTTCTCCAGGTTGGGGGTGGGTGGGTGTTCTTATCCCAGTCCACAATGCGGCCCCAGAAAGGCTGGATCCTCAAATCTCCCCCTTTTGGGTGGTAAGAGACTCTGAGCACCAACCTTCCTTTCTGTGCCATCAGATGCTTTCTGGGTGTTTCAAGCGGCATCAATTCATTCGACTCCCAGCTTTCATGCCAGCCCCCCTCCCCAGAAAAAGAGATTTCAGCTGCAGCTGCGAATGAGTCAAAAAAGATGGGGAAAAAGACCATTAAAACCCACCGAAGGAAATGTGTGGGGAGACAGTTCCAATCCCTCTCGGTTGCCTTGTGAGGTCGGTCCCAAACCTGCTCCGAGTGGGTTGGGAGTTTGGGGGGGGTGCAGAAAGCAAAGTGGGCCCCAGCTCCTGGGCATTGAGGCAGCCCCCGCTGCAGCCCCACTCCTGCCCTTCTGCGAATGCTTCCAGGGAAAGGCCTCCCCCTCCTGCCAGCTCTCCCCGTCCAGCCACCACAAGGGAAGAATAGGCGCCATCAAATATGCATGCAGCCGGCAGCTGCCCAGCAGCCAGGGCGGGCGGTCACTGGGCGAGTTGCTGACCTTCCAGGCCTGTCCCTTGGAGCGAGGGGATGGCGTCGCCTGTCCTCCTGAGGGGTTAGTCCGTTGCCAGCCCAGAGGGCAGGACAAGGGGGGGGAAGCGGGCGGCCCCTGGCCAGGTAAGTGGGCCATGGCGTCTGATCGCTTTCCATTTGCTCTGGCTCTGGTTTAATCTGCAAAACGGCCATCAGCTGCTTGATTGCATACTTGCTTTCAGTTCATTGGTAGCCAGGTCTTGGGGTAGGGAAGGGCTAAGCTTGTCCTCCCTTCTGAAGCCCTCACAACCTCCCTGTGAGGTAGGCTGGGATGGAAGGAAGCTCCTGTGGGGTGTGTGTGGAAGGCTCAGGGTTTTTTTCTCCGAGGGTTTGCAAATCTGGAGGGTGAGCTGCTACCTTTTGTCTGCTCCTTCAGTGGGTCATGTTGTGCTCCGGTTAGCCCACCTCACAGGGTGGTTGTGGGAGTGATAAAGGTGCCCCCCCATTTGTAAGAGCGAAGCAGAAAACTTTTGAGCCTCGCTCCGGAGGAAGCAGCTTTGAAATTAAGCCCCGGTTTTGGGGAAACCTTCAAAGCTAGAAATGGGACAAGGGAGGTGGTTTGAAACAACGATACAAACCTGAAGCCTCGCAGGTAGGATTTCGGGGGGCTCTGTTAAAAACGGAAGTTTCTAGTCCTCTGCAATGAATCTCCTCTCTAGCCTGACCTCTGCTTTAAAAGTGCACCAGGAAGAGAAGACGGGGAATCTTCTCTATTCTCTGTGGTTTTTCTTTTCCTTCTGTAAGAGTTTTGGTCGTGCCATCCAAAGGTAGGATTTCGGGGGCTCTGTTAAAAACTGAAGTTTCTAGTCCTCTGCAATGAATCTCCTCTCTAGCCTGACCTCTGCTGGACCAGGAAGAGAAGACGGGGAATCTTCTCTATTTTCTGTGTTTTTTCTTTTCCTTCTGTAAGGGTTTCGGTCATGCCATCCAAATATAACCAGGCATGTTTGTGCCCACTGCCCTGTCCAGTTTGAAAAGGTGCCAGCAGCTGCCCTGCCCCAGAATTTGTAGCAGATTTTGGAGGGCACTGAGCCCCCCAGTAAGGGGTCCAACCAACCTCCCCTTCCTAAATCCAGCAGGCATTTAAAAATAGGCACTACCTCAAGCTGTGTGCCCGTCTTCCTGTTGGTGGCAGGCAGATGGAGAAGAGAGAAAGGTGAGCCTCTCCCTGCCAGCTGCCCGGCAGAGGGGCTGGTGCCCTTCCATTGTCCCTTTGATTTACGTCTCTCGGGCATGACGTCCGAGGCCTGGAGCGGGGGGGGGGGGGGGGGGGTGGTGCCCTTCCATTGTCCCTTTGATTTACGTCTCTCGGGCATGACGTCCGAGGCCTGGAGCGGGGGGGGGGGGGAGTGGATCTCCCATGGGGAGACGGGAAGCAGCAGTTGGCAAGGCTCTCGGTTAGAGATGGCAACTTCCCGTCGGTGTGGTGTGGCACTGGGGTGCCGATGGCACCGGACATCTTCAAATTGATTTGTGCAGGACTTGGGAAAGCCCTCGCATTGGCCGAGCTGGGAGCGAGGGGCCGACGTTTTGCCACGCCATGCCAAAATCAGGGTGCAGGAGGGCTCGGGACTGACCCTTGCAGTGGGTGACATCCAGGGGGCAGCCACTGATGGTGTCCAATCCAAAAGGTAAGCCCCCCCTTGGCAAACTGATCTGGGGTCCTTCCATGCATCTCTTGCACGTCGCATTTAAGTTTTCCCCCCCTCCCCCGTTGGGGTTTGATCGGTGAAGCCGAGGAGTTTGCAAAGAGCCAGAGGTGCAAAGCTGCACATCTGGATTTCAGCAAGAGGCCCCCCCCCCCGAGAGATTGGGCCCTCATTTGCCTGAAATGCAGTAGGGTTTCCAACTTCAGCATAGGGTCAGACTAGAAGACCTCCAAGGTCCCCTTCCAGCTTCGCTACCTCTCTTCTCAGCCTCACAGTTTCCCCGCCCTGGTCAGTTTCTCCTGAAGTCTGCAGGTCATCCTATTCCCTTGCCTTTGAAAGTAGGACGGAGGTTGGAATCGACTGGGGAACAGAACTGGAGATGCTCCCAAAAATGACAGTCCCTGTCGGTGGGATCAAAACTCCGTGTGTATGTGTGTGTGTGTGTGTGTGTGTGTGTGTGATCATGCCATTGTGGCTGCCATCTTGACCCCACCTTGCCAACAGCCCTGTCCCTCCCACCCCTGGATTGCATGCCCTTCATCCCTCCGAGCCCCATCCTAGTGTTGCGTTGAAGAGCTGTTTCTGTAACTCTTCCCAAGGCCTGCCACAAATACAAGTTTCTATTTTTTTAAAAATGCCTCCGTATATCAAAATGGAAAGGTCACCCCCTGAAGAGGAGAATATGTAAACACAACAATGGTTAGAGTGGATGGAGGGAGGAGTAGAAGGAAAGATAGGAAGGAGAGGAGAAAGGAGAGGAATAGGAGAAAGGGAAAGGCAGAGGAAGAATGGGAGGGAATGTAAGAGTAGGAAAGGGGGGAGGAAGGGGAAGAAGAGGGGAAGGGTAAAGGGGAGGAAGGGAGGAAGGAGAGAAGAAAGAGAAGAAAGGGGGGTAGGAAGGAGGGAGGGAAGGAGGGAGGGAAGGAAGGAGAGAAGGAGAGAAGGAGGGAAGGAAGGAGAGAAGGAGAGAAGGAGGGAAGGAAGGAGAGAAGGAGAGAAGGAAGGGGGGAAGGAAGGAGGAAAGGAAGGGGGAAAGGA